CTCCAATCTTGACTAAGGGTGGTTCGGGCGCGTCCCTATAGAGACCCTCTATTCTAGACCCTCTGAAGCATGTTATGGAAGCAGGGAAGGAAAAAGGAGCGCTATTGTAAGTCCTCGGCCAACCAAAAAAGTTAACCAACCAAAATCTAGCGAAATCGCCCCACTGCTCCGCTCCGCCCATCTCGTTATTTTCTTCGAATTTTTTCGTTGTAACGTATTCGTTGCGTGCTATATTTTCTGAATCAGCGCTCTAAATGTAATTGCATTTAATTAATTGTATCACACGTAAAAATAATTTCCATTTTTCACCGTGATCATGCACAGTTATTATATAATCTGATGATCTTATATATCCTATTATTTATTTAAGTATTAGTTTGATTACTTATCTTCTAAAGTATTTTCACAATATAATATTTTATAAAGAATGTATTAAATGAACATTTACCAAGAAATGTTCAATATGTTTAAATGTTCTTCGCTTATTTGTGTTATAATACTTTGTATTGGTATTCATTGTTTATTATATTAAATTAAAATACGTATATAGAGAAAGTTACCACGAAAAAATTTCTAGACTGTATCCTAAAAATTTTCAAGTGTAAATAATGTAACTACTACAAATATTATGTTTTTGATAAAAACGTGGTAAGAGATTTGTCGAAGAAAATTGAATTGTACGCAGTATCAAAAATATCAAGATGTAACAGCAGCAATAAAAACGAAAGGGGTTAAACGAGGGTGACAAAGTTTCATTTCGGTTTGCATGCTTTGCTGCAATAAACGTCAGTCCCTTTAGTGCCTGCGATGGCGTTATTAATTCGATTATAATGAGCTATTAAGTGAAACGCTGGTAATTCCGACAAGCTTCATCAAACGACTAAGCTCACACTCACTCTCTGAGTTAGAAGATTGCGGGGAGTATCAGGGCCGTTAAGCAAATTAGTGTGAAGTTGGGGGAACTCTATTCCGGTCTTTTTAAGCCTTATTTTCAATGAACCACGCTACGTCACTTTCATGACCATCAATTTGACAGTAATAGTTACTCCTGGAAAAGTTCGTTTTTCAAGATATGTTAATAAAATAATAATCGATACGCATACATATACATATACATATACATATTACATATAAGATAACCATGCCCTATACAGTAAAAAACATTTTGTATTTGTGTTTATAAACAATCCACTCAAATCCTTGTTAATATTTTGTGTTGAATTTTTTAATATATTCGAGCGTTAATTTTACATAATGTGATTATGTTATTTAAATAGTTTATGTTAAATTGATTTCAATATTTCTTAGTATCAAAGTACATAAATTATGAGTAAATAAATAAATAATATAAAAATAATGTATTTTAAAAAGTAAATTTTAAGATGAATAAATAAAATATGTGTTAATTTAATATTATAAATGTTGATTTATTACTGAAAAAAATATGTTTCCACGATATATTTACAAATCGTATCAGTATTATTTTTTTGAGTTTATCTTCTTAAATGATATTTGTATTACCTTCTAACATATTCATGCATTTTGTGTTAATTAACACATAGATTTGAGTCTGTTTGAAACACGTAAAATGTGTTATAACGGCAGTAGTATGCTCTACTGTAATTACATGGTAAATTCAACAGATAGCACTAGTAAATTGTGCAGGTTGTTTGTCTGACTCGATTGTATCAGTTTAATTATTGCTCAGTTTGTTTATTCTGTTATTGTCAGTAAAGCAAAATGTAGAACGTCGTAATCATGATGTAATATTTCGTAAATAATTGCTTTCTCTGTCAAAAGATGGTTATTAATTTCTGTAATTTATTTTATTGTATTTCTGTATTTATATTTTACAATACTATATTTAGTTTATATTTTCGTCATAACGTTTTGTTTATAACCAAAGAGAGAAGAAGTTTTTGTACGATAGAACCAATATTGCAGATCATGGAATGCTCTAATTTATTTGCTAAATATCATGAAAATAAGTAGATCAGTAAATAAGTAGATAAATCAATAATTTGGAAGTTCTTTGTGTATTCTAATGTGTCAATAAATGTTCAATTTAATAATAAACTTATATTCTTTATACATAAAAATAACATTGGATAAAAATAAAAATAAAACATAAAAGTAACTTTATTTTTTATTTTTCTAATATTATTTTACAGAAAAGAGGGGAACTTATATAATTTTATCTAAGTGTCTAATATATGTATCCAATATGATCTAAAGGTACTTTTTCTTAAAATCTTCATTGTGCACTCATATAAATATTTGAAAACATTTTACTTCCTTTTAATATTCAGAAATATTTCCTTTTTTAAATCCAACCATTAGTTTTAAATTTTGTACTTATAAAAAAAATTAGAAAAAATCATAAAGTTTAGGTAGGCCATATCTGGTTTTAGTTATAATTTTTAATAATCAATGATAGTTAAAAAGCCTACTGAGAGCCGACGCTAGTTGTAGTTGCGAATTATAATTTTATTTCCCAATACATACATATAATAGACGCGCGTTTTGGATCCTCCTCCTATAATTTTTAAATTAAGATATCGAATTCCTTGTAGACATATTTATTGCCCAATTTCAAATTGATTTATTTGTAATGAAATTATTTACAAATCAAACTTTTTTATATCACAAGCAAATAAGACTTAAGTTTTAGTAGATTAATTTATAGTTTATAATTTAATTTAATTACATTATGAAATTAAATGTTTGTATACTTATATTTTCTGTACATACTTTATTTAAATAATAAAAGATTAGCTAAAAATATTAATTAGATTATTGCAATTCGCAAATCCATATTATGTAGTACATTATTCTAATCTGTATAGTATCCATATTATATAATATCTTATTGTTGATATAGTATTGGCTACACAAATTATGGATAATAAGAATATTCAAATTGCAATATATAAGAAAATATAAATAAATGTATTTTTTTTAGCAATACATTTGACATTAGAATACATTTATCATAAATATACCTACTTATTTAATGAATTATCTTATCATTATTAAAAATTAATCTGATAATTTGAGTGTAAGATGGGTTTATTTAGATAAGTCTTATCATAATCTTAAAAAATGGTCTATTATTATTGTATAATAAAATCCAGAGGTACATTTATACACATGTGATCGTGATAAAATGCATGTTCCCGATATTTAAAAATACATTTGCACTGTATTTTTACTTTACTAATTCTCTTATTTTATAAAATATATGAAAAACATTATTAGAAAAGTTTTTTGTTAGTTGATCATTAAATAATTTTATAATCTTTTTGTAATAAATTTTATTTAAAGATTCTTATAAAAATTTATTTTTTATTTTTAGAATATATTAGATATAATATAAATTCTTAGATAATTAGAATATTAGATATATAAATTTCTAGATATATATTTATCAAAAGACAGCAAAATATAATTAAATAAAAGCATACTATTTCATTTTATTATAAACGAATTGTAATTAAAATTAATATAATGATTAAAGTAAAAATATATCATAGCTTATATATAGTAAAAAGAATGCAATTTATACTAGAATATATAATAATAAACACATTTTGGACTATTTATGTTTATTAATATTTAGTTGATGCATGATAAAGATAGAAAGGCATTTTTCAATATCATTTTTTATTACTTACTTTGTGTGTCTAATCTTATCAATTGAGTTTACAATAGTCTCATAGGCGTAAATTAAAATAAAATTATAAGGTAAGGTATATCATACGTGCTGATAAGTTTTCGTTTCAAATATTTTGGAAAATATTATTTATTTCAGAATTCACGTACATAATAGGTATGATTCCAAATGATAATTTGGATTTCTGTTTTTATAAACTCATTCTCATTTACTATTCGTTTATTATGATTGTTTTTACAATAAATGTAATTACGTTTTACATTATATTATTATTATTAGTAACAAATTTAAGTATAAGTTTTAAAAACGGCTGAAATAATATTGTGTAATAAACTTAATTCATTTTAAATTTTATAAATTTAATTTAATTTGGAGTTAAAAAACTAGTTAAGACCAAAGATTTATGTGAACATTATCCGTTAAAGATAAGATAAAAGAAAATCAATAAGAAATACGGCAAATTGCAGACTAATGACATTAAGTTCTCATAAGACCGTATTATTGGATAGTGCGCGTATGATTAATGATTATGGCAAGCCGAGATTACATGTCGCACTTTATTAATTCTCATACATACAGATTGTTTGAAAGTCACTGACTTGGCGATTACGGAATAGCATGTCACATTCTGTCTTTGACAAACTGTCCACCTTGTTTGACAATCTTAATTGAAGACCATCTATGTAAAAATTGTTGATCTTTTATCAAATGTTACTTTACAAAATAATAACTTTACTGAATTTATATAAAGTATTTTACTTACTTTTATTAGTATCTTACTTTAATGAGAATCAATTGGGTCAAATTATGACTTTCAGGAACTGAGATTGTTTCGTTAGTAATCAACAAATAAATATTATCTATAAACTTTTATAAAAATTTTTTTGTATTAAAAAATAAATAATAAAACAATTTTAAATATTTCATAAAAATGTAATATTAATTAGATATAAAATGCACATAAAATATTCATAATGATGAACATGTAAATAGTTAATATATATATATATATATATATATATATATTTGTCGCAGAAATAATTGAATTAAATTGAATTACTGTGGTTATATATAATTTCAAAAATAAACAGTGGCGCACGATCCGGCAATGATAGCTTCTCAAATAACGGGACCATGAAAGATAAAATAGCCATGATTCTGCATCTTCATATACCAATCTATGAACAAGCAATCAAGCTGAACGAGGTTTAACGAATGGCTACTGGATCGCGCCCACAGAATACCTAATTTCACGCTAGTTTGCTCACTGTACATAGGCGTCGACTCGACCGGAAATTTAAATCAAGTGTGGATAGTGGCCACTTACCGACTGGCTTGGGTACATTTCTCTTGACCTGCATCCACTTGTACGTGGGTACTTGCGCCTGTTGTTGTTGCTGCTGATGTTGTTGCGAATGATGCGCATGCGAATGTTGTTGTTGATGATGATGTCCGTGCTGATGAGGATGTTGAAGGTGACTGGATTGTTGCAAAATGTGATAGGTAGTTGTGTCCGAGTTCTCTTCTTTATAATGTGCCGACGGATGCGTGGAAAACTCGCTCTGTTGAATCTGAGTTTGATAATGCAAAGATTCGTCCGAGGAGGGTAGTTGATGAAGATAATTCGAAGTTCCACCAACTGTTATTGGATAATCGGGTTCATGGTGATGATGATGATGGTGATGACTAGAAGATTGATGATGGAGTTGTTGATCGTGCTCCGTTCTTGGATGACTAGTTGGGGGTACCGTAGTTTGATGCAAGCTGCTACTACTGGGTGGATGATGGTGATGATGATGATGATGAGAATCTTCTCTGTAAGGAGGCTGTTGAACGTGGTAACTTTGATGCGGATCCACCGAGGCTACTGCGTGCTGCTGCTGATTTGGATACGATGAGGATGACGCGTAATCCAGATTGGTGTAGCTCAGACCATTCTCCGAAGAAATTATCGCCGTAGTGGAGCCATTCTCGTGGAGAACGGCACCCGTCGGAGAGTAGAAGCCTTGAGGCGGCGTACTGGACGATGTGCCCGAATCGGCGGTCAAGAAACTCTCGGAAGACGATGAAGAATATGGCGCCACTGCAGTCTGGGGGTAGTAATGAGTTGGAGCTACCTCTGGGGAAGGAGGCACAGACACGTGACCACCGACGGATGAAGGCTGGTGGTGGTGATGATGATGATGATTTCCTTGACCCGAGAACACATAGTTAGGATATGAGTCAGGTTTGCCATAGGTCCCGTACATGCCCATGTCCATCATCATCATCCTCGTAACGGAGAGACGAATCAATTGACCACCCACTGTTTCGACAACTCCAATGTGTACTGTCCAAATGGAAAGAAGAGAAATGATTTACATCATGACTAAAATTGGCCACTGTTTTCTCAATTGTTTATTTCAACATTGTATATAAAAATTTACAATCTTTTAATTTTACACAAATACCACAGAAGAGTAAACATTTAAATTTGTCTTATTAAACACATTTATGATAAGCACAAAATTAACTAGTACTTGGCAAGATATCGAAATCGCGAAAGTCTCAAATAAATCAATAAATGTCCATGTCGGGTTGCACAAAATCACAGATGCAACTAAATATTAAATCTTTAAGTTGTCACAAGTGCGCACCAAAATCACACAGAAAATATATAATAGCTTGATAAAACTTTATAGCAAATATTCAAGATTTTAATTTGATACGTCCTGAAAGTGAGTAATTAAAGTGAGTAGTTAACTGTTCTCTTCCGAGAACAGTTAACGATACCAATTCGCGAGCACTATGAAACATTAACCGTCATCCACAAAAATAATCCGTGATTCCGTGCAGACACTCGTGCAGTCGATCCGTCCAACATGGGCCGTTGGAGTGGACTGGTGAGGTGGACTAGCGTAGCGGAAAGCTGCACACAGGTGAGACTGACCCGCAGTGGTCTGGCGTGTTTAAGTTTTCCTTCTCTTTCTCGCTTGGGCGTATCACCCAGCCGTAGAGTGGAGGTATTGCGCTGCGTGAGGTTAGTTCCAGGGGGAGTCTCCATTATTGGTGGGCGGTACTTAGATGTAGTCACGTGATGGAGATTGGGCGGTGCCAGCCAATCGCGAATGAGTCTGCGCGCCCCGAGTCCACTGCTTCATGATGGATCACCAGTGTGAATTTTATTTTTCGTTCCTTCTTTTTATCTGGCACGCTGCAGTTGACACTTATCGTCGCTGGTAGGAGTCGGGTATTATATCTCGGTACCCACCTTCTATGCTATCCGGACGCAAGCAACCTCCGCCTTTCCATCCCCTGGATAGGTTGTTTTGTGCCTTCTGCCTTTTTTCTTTCCACGCTCTTGATGGCTCTTTCTATGTACTTGCGTGTCTTGCTCGCCTCGAGATATCAAGGTACAAACATCCTCTGCGTTTTTATTATAACTGGATAGTTTAATTATTATAGTTGATCTACTGTACACACACATAAATCCTATTTTATATTAAATACTTTAAAATGCCGAGAACTAGTTAACTGATAGTTAATTTTGTATTATCTTACAAATTCTATTAAATGAATTTTTAATAAGAGAAAAACAAAAATATACATTATAAATGTGAAACAAATAAAGTACATCTCTGTAGATAATTTTTGTGTTGACTTATAATGTCTAAAAAAAAGCGAAGACAGATAATTTAATTTGGTAGCTGCAATGTCACGCTAATAAATAAGAAAGAGATATTTTGGTCACACAGGCGGGCGACGCACGAAACAATTTGTGACTCTTCAGACTGCTAGGATATTCATCATCCTCACGTCGTCGAAACCCTGACATGACAATACACTACTTCTAAAGATATAGCGAAGGACTAGATCACATTCGACGCTACATCTCTAAAAAACTTTTTTAAAATTTATAAAGAATTAATTTTAAGTATTTCAAGTATTTCTCTTTATTGCTTGAAACACTTAATTTTTATTAATTTATTATTTTAAAAAATATAAAATTTTATATCTATTCAATTGAGAATTAAACTGTTTATTAAATATAAAATTACAATTATCTTTAAAACAGTTAAAACACCAAAGAACATGATTTAATAGTTTGTAATTGCATATAATTTTATATAATTATTAGAAATATTTCTAAATAGTACTTTTCTATAAACTTAACATACGCGCTCATAAAGATTTTATTTTTTTATTACGTTATTATACTTTACTGACTTTTCAATAAACTTAGAGCCTTTTTTTATAAGTATACAAGATTTTGCAAATTAAATTTAAGAAAGATGAAATATGTATAACACAAAATAGATTATAGTTTCTTATTTCAATAAAGTCTGAAAACTCCTCTCTCTCTCTCTCTCTCTCTCTCTCTTTCTCTCTCTCAAACTAAAAGTTAAAAATATACAAAGCATTCTCTTCTAATGCAATTTAACAGATGATATCTTTTTATTAAAATTATTATTATAAACTTATTTATTTAAATTTTGTTCTCAATTTTCTTATGTTTATAGAAAATATGATTATATGTATGTGATGATACGATCCAATTAAATAGCTACTTTATTTTATATACTTACTTTCATTACATTTTATATGCTATATTTATTTTATATATTATTAATATAATACTTAAAGTTTAATTAGTGCTATAAATAATAATAAGCTTCTTAATAACGATAGTTAAGAATAAATATAACTCTAAAGGATCGTATATTAAGGCTGTACGTATAACGCAATAAAAAGAAACCGAATAATATTATACAATAAAATTTAATGTATTATTAAGGGACTGCTGTAGTTACTAATAATCACGATATTATATTAAATAAGTTAACTGTAGGAGAAACATCATTTCTAATTATTTCTTATTATTTAACAGATGAGTTGTGAACATTTTTGGCAATAAGGGGATCCGAGAAAAGTGACAAGAGCTCGCTCGTCCGAAGGACGCGTGACGGCCCATGGGATATCTCTTACCCCATGCGAGAGCACAGTGACAGGATGACACATTCCACCGTGAGAGTTTTAGAAGCATGGTCCCGTATCAGCAGTTCAGTCAGAAGAGCTTATATCGAGGGCGCCACCTGCGGCCACCCGCGACATCCGTCCTGTTCCGTACATCAGACCAGGGAATCTTCATCTTGATCGAGCCGCAGTGACGTTTGATAGTTCTGATTCTTGCTGTCGGCTAATCTTTTTCACTTGGACGCGCAGTTACATACCTTATCTTTATCGCAATATGTGTAATTCAGATTTTTCATACATTTTAATCTTTGAGTTTAAATATCTCATTTTTGTACAGTTAAAATTAATATTGTTGGTATACATATAATATCTTAATATCGTTAACAATAAACGGTTTATGCTTAGGACAAGTTTAAAGTTTCTTAAGAAATACGTTTTGTATGTATGTGTGTGTGTGTGTGTGTGTGTGTGTATTATTTTATAATATACTATTACTATATATCAGTAATTCATTTTGATAGTAAAATTAAAGTTAAATTAAAGTTAAAAATTGAAATGTACTTAAAAATCAATTAATAATAAGGTTTTTAATATTTTAAGGTGTTTAATATTTCTTACACACAATTATATGATTTTCTCGTGCCGAAACTTTTAGATAATGAACTTATCAAAACATTTAAGTAGCGAATCTTAATTTAATGTAAAGTTAATAATAATTAGTATCTTGTCTATGAAGGTTTCTACCGTTATTAGAGAAATATGGCAGAGAAATTTGATACAAAAACAATTATACTGCACGATTTTTCATCGACAAAGTGTAATTTCTCAGGTAAATATTTGGAAGATGTGTTTGTCGAAATTTGCGAGGATTAAACTAGTAAATTTGGGTTTAGTTTGATCTAATGTTGGATAAATATCAGCACCTTTCTTTCCAGTCGACGCGTAAACTTTTTCTTAGGATTCTAATCCCATTAAACAATTATAGTCTACTCAATCGGTCCAGTACCCGTCGTCTCGTGGCATCATGCTGAGATTTGACGTGGGATGAGGCACCTGCATTGTCATGCTGAGTTATAGTCGTTTTGTTGCAGTCCTGACTTTTATCTGCAAGCCACAATAATCCGTCGCTTTCTAAAATGCTTCTTTTTTTCTGTTAAAACTCCTCTACTCTAGCATCAGGATATTGTTTACATATAACATACATTAATTTTCTCATTAACAATTATACTATATTATCGGAGAAAACTTTTTTTTAGAGTTCAACCTGAAAATATGATAGTGGAACGACATTGTATTTGGAAGAATTTTAATGTAAATTTCTCTCCGTGTTTTTCTCTCCATTCATTAATCAAACTACAATAAAATATAAAATAAGTTCGATTAATTTTACTGAAGTGCATGGCAAAAATCTTTAAAATATTGTATTGTACCACAACTATATTTTCAGGATAAATTTTAAAAGAAAATTCTCCCCGTGTTGGAAATTATAACGTGTTTTTATTCAAGATTAACAAACAATAGCAAAACAATTAAAATAACTTTAAATCATAAAGCGGAAAATATTAAGTATCTCATTCAACAATGTTTTATGATTAGAAAGTTAATTCAAAAGCATTTCTTCAATAATGTTTAACAGAAGTGTTAAAAACAACTTTGAAAAATATCCTTCTTTCTGTGTTTGCTTATAGAGGAATATTTACTATTTGAGATATGTAACTTTGACTTCTGTCAACGTGTCAACTGCTTGAGATGATATTTGAAGAGCGCCTAACGTTAATTGTCCAGCGCACCCAGATGTCACGTCTTAAACAGTACGTTTTCAGATGTTGGGTGTTGTGTCCATCAAAGAACCAGTCACAACAATTCAGCGGGTGTCTACTGACGAACAGACAGCTGTCTATTGAGAGAATCGCGTGGGATTTTCAGAAGGATTCCGTCTTTATAAAATGATGCACTACATTCCACTAAAACGATGTCACTTTCTGCGAGGAAAATGGGAGTTTTGAAACCGCGTGAAATAAAAGAAGAAAGAAGAGACGAACCAAAAAAGATATAGAACCGAAATTTCGAATATCTTTTCTCGAGGGAAAGAATAACTTCTACACATATTTCTATTTATATTACGTTTATTCCATTTAATATCAAGTATTTTATTTACAAAAATGTTGTAAAACTTGAAGAAGAAACTATAATTTTATGATTTATTAGGTATATTTTATGAGATTTATTTAGCTATGATGAAGTTCTTAATCGTTATTTTTCTTATATCGCTGTTAACGAGATATCGAATAATTGTCTTTCTTTAACTTTTTTCTCTTTCCTCTTATTAATAAAATATTCAATCACATTGAAAATAAGAATCTACATTTGTTACACAAGTTTTAAGAAATATTCGAACCTTTAAACGAAACGATTCGGATTTAGAATTGGAGCTTGGTAC